CCAACTCTTCCTTAGCCACTTTATCGACTCCCATTAGCTCGATAGGCCTAGTCAAGGCTAAGTGTTGAGGTTGAGGTTCGTAATAACCAGAAACCGGGGGAGATGATACCGGGATAACAGAAGGTAGCTTGGAGAGAAGTGCTTCTAGGCTGCTCATTGAAGGAGTGATTTTCATTGGCTGATTAAAATGATTGTAGAATTCAGTGGGGGGTACCATGTTGTTTTGATAATGAAATGCTTCTGGTGCATTGGAGTATGCTGCAGAGGATGGATGTGGCAAAAGAACCCCTGGAATGCTTTCAATGTAACTGAGCTTCCTTCTTAGTGACACAACATAGCTCAGGTCTTCAATAACCTTCATATATATCCAGTTCACGCCACGAGAAAACGAGTCATTTAGATCACATACGACTCAACATATAGACAAAATTTTAACTTCTTTTGTGCGTGAGCGCACTTTTGCACTCAAGAGTGAGAGAGAAAGAGAGAGAAAGAAAGAGGACCTTATGAACAGCTCCTAGCTGAATAACACCCTCTCTAACAGCAATCAAGGCAATAGTCTGTAATGTAATTCAGTTTGATTAAAATAAGTCATTGATAGCTTATTTTGGTAAAGAGTATCGAAAAGTACTCAATTATAAGTAAGAAAAATAAATTAAAAATCTTATCCATTATATTTTTCAGAGTACCAAAGATGATATTTCTTTGATGTGATACCTTTATACCGGACTGGAACTGAGCTTCCCAAGTCCTGGGATACTATTAATTAACGAAATAAGAAAGTATTCATTAATAAAAAGAGAAATATATAAAAAGAATATATTCTTATTTCTTACAACATGAAATCATAGACTAAAGAGATGAACTAACGAGAATTCAAAGGATTAATTGCTTACAGAATCAACTGAGTTATGCCATGCAGATAAGAAGTTAATTTCTTGATCATTTGGTTCTTTGTATATCCATTTATGGCTATGATCTGCTGCAACTTTTCCAATTAAACTTTAAAAAAAAAAGAAAAAAGAAAAAAGAAAAAAGAAAAAGAAAAAAGATCAGCTTGTTTATATCGTACTTACTGAAATCATCAAATAAAAATGGAAATTAAAAAAATTGGATTTCTTTGATTTTTAATTTTTCCTTACCCTTCACCATAGTTGTAGATTTCATGGGACATCTTGAAGAAGAGCTCAGGCTGCAGTCCCTGATAGTGTTGATAATCGTAAACCGACGAGCTGGCCGGGCATTCACTAGGATTAATCTCAGCTGTTGAAGCAGCGAAATTGCAGAAACCATCTTCCCAAACCAATATCCTGAATATAAGATATACAATTACAAAAAAAAAATAAGTGAGTTTGCATAATTTAGCATATAAATAAATCCAACCCCACTTATTTAAATAATACCAGTTCCTCCTGTTGCCTCTTGATCTGTCATATACACTTCCTTGGCTATCCCACCTATGAGAAAAAATAGAAAAAGAAGATGAATCTTACATAATGCATCGGATCTCACTGCGTTTTAAGCGAAAATTTTCGATTATTTCATAATATGCAAGAATAGATGAAATCTAGCAGTATTTTTTTTT